GACTAATATAGCCTAATCGAAAATACGTAAGTTCAGGGGTGATCGTAGTAAAAGAAAAGGCTTTAATAATATATTTTAGTACAATTAATTTAGTTAATAGAGAAGGTCGAATAGATATTATATATAAAAATAGTATACTACGTTATCGGAATACGTATACTTTAATAATTAATTCATTCTAAGGGTTAACTATTGTCGGCATATATAGCCTATAGGCCAGATATACATCTTGAATCCTGCCTGCTTACTAAGTTGACGACTCGACCTCGACCTTGCCCGTTTGGCAGTGCATGCGCTCGTCTTCCTTTGCCCTGCAGGTTTGCTGATTGCAGGCCCAGGCCTTTGTTTCTTTCTTCTTGTAGGCCTATATAGGCCTTTCCCTTCTTCTTTTCCTTCTTCGTCCTCTTGCTCTCCTAGATAGACCAATCTGACTTCGTTCTCCTCTGCTTCCTGTGTGCTTGGTGTCTATGACACCATCATAAGTATTCCTATCTTACTTACCGCTAGGAAAACCTAATCTTATTTACCCCTAGATTCTAATCCTAGATTCTGATCTTCAACGATCGTGTTAATATTACCCGACTAGGCAAAGGAATATTCAACACTCCAAAATGACCTCTAATATTCTTGATTTCCTTATATAATATTTACTATGTTCCTTTGTGAGATATAGGGCAAGATGCCTAAACCGAGCAGTCATACAGCATATCAAGGTAGATTCATAAGTCCTATATAAGATAGCTAAATCTCTATAAGCTTTATGCTATAGCATCATCACTACGGTTAATAACATCGCTATACCATCATCACTACGGTTAATGATATCGTAGAAGACGTATACTATTGTATACGATCTACATCATCACTACGATCAATAACATCGTACAATCAAGCAACCACCGATCAAACAGCTACTGTATGAGATCACTATGCATCAAGATCTATCTACATGAGATTATTATGCATCTAGATCCTAGATCTAGAACGATCATATACGAAAGAGGTTTGATAAGCTTGCATAAAAGATTGATTATAAATATACCCTGTTTTCTCTACAAAAATCATGTCAATCATCAATCATACAGATCAGCAGATTCAATACAATCAACCAAGCTTCAGTCCTACCTTACTTTTCTCTTACCTTTATAATCCTAAGCCGAATTGAACTTATCCTTCCTATTCAATCAAGAGGAAGAAAGATCAATCGATCTTATTTAATTTATCTTCCTCTTTACCAACCTGCGCAGCATCGCTTGCTCACAAAACGCTACGGAATTAATCTAAGCGTACTAGAAGTAATATAAAGAGGATACTTTAGTTATTAATAATAGAAAGCCCTCGAAATAGAGACGAAAACCTAACGAAACCCCCTAGAGATCGTATTAATCCCTTAATAATAATAAGGTCTTCTTTAAGATTAAGTAGTTAATATAGACTACTTAGATATTAGAAGTTATAGATAATAATAATAAGGTCTTCTTTAAGATTAAGTAGTTAATATAGCTTAGATACCTTCTATAACTACTAGGCAGATAAGAGTGCTCTAGAGGCCTACTTAGAGTAGATTAGTAGTTAATCCCCTTAGGATTAATAGAAACTAAAACAAGGCGTAGTAGAGTAGATAGTCACTTCTAGGGATAGCTATTCACGAAAGTAAGCCGATTCTCTATAGAAATAAGATCTAAAGGATAACTATCTAGCTAGGTTCTACTAAGAAATACTAGTACCTATAGCTAGTAATAAATCCTCTACGAAAAACTACTAAAACTTAGAGAAAGAGTACTATAACTACTAAAGAGGGATCTACTTAATTAGCTATAGACTACTAGTATTAAAGAATCCTCTACAAAACTATAACGAAGGCCTCTCGAAACCTCTATTCGACTAGAGCAAAAAGTTAACTCTATTATAGCTCCTCTAGGACGAAGAGGAAGTCCTCTATTAGTATCTCGAGTAGGAGAGCCGATAGGAAGTTAACTAGGTCTAGAACTATAGAAATACTAGCTATAGTATTACTATTCGTAGGATAGTTAATATTATTTAGGATAAAGCTATCCTAAGTATCACGAATCGCTACTAAAATACTATTAATAAAGGCTAGCTTTACTTAGGTCTATCTAATAAAACTATTATCTCTAGGTAATAAGTATAGTAGTTTCTTAGAGTAGAAATCTTGCTAATTACTAGATAGGGCGTAAGGACTAGGGAGAACGATATTAACTAGCTCGGAACGATAGGATATAAGAATAGTATTATACGTAGAGGCGTATTTCTACCGAAACCCTAGTTAAACTATATCGAAACCTATATATATTTTTAACCTATCTTATTCTCTATCTTAGTCCTAGTTAGCTAGTACTCCTTCTAATAAGCTAGCTCCGTATTATTAAAGGCTCGGTAGAGATCTACTAGAGAATCGTTAATCTCTACCCGAACTTCCTTAGGATAGAGCTATTTATATTAGAGGCTGTCCTTAGGGTCTAGGTTCTCTAACTAGAAGTACTTATAGGTCTACTATACTACGGACGCTAAATCGTAGGCGTTGCCTAATAGGGTAGTTAACGCCTATAACTAGTTAGCTTAGCTCTCTTATATAGGATAGCGAAAAGTATAGGAATATATATCGAATTACGGCCGGAACACTAGTAGTACGTAACCGAAGCCTTAGTATCTAAAACGTAGTTAATATCGAGTAGGATATCTAGTATAGTATCAAAGTTATCGTATAAGGTCTATAGGTAGTATATATACTAGAAGTATTTAGGCCGAATCGGCACTAAGAGTATAGCGCGGGATCGCCGAGGTATCGTGAGTGCTTCGGTAGCGTTTCGGGAATAAAGATTTGATAAAAAGTCGCGTTAAAAGGAGCTTAAGAGATAGGGGGTTTAGGGAGGTTACAGGAGAAAGAAAAGAAGAGGGGAAAGGAAGATAGGATATAGGATATTAACAAAGAAAGAAGGCCCTCTTTGTTTACTACGCTCTTTGTTTACTACGCTCTTTGTTTACTATAGCTAATTTTGTTTACCCCCCCCTAGGCTTTACTACCTTTTTCTGCTACCTGCCTGTTTACCTATTTATTTACACCCTTATTGTATATAACTCCCTCGCTTAGGGTAAGCGAAATTAGAGGGAGGATAATTGTTATGATATTTTGTACTATAAGGCTATTCCTATGTTGAGGCCTTAGGCTTCAGGCCTCCAAGGATCACTAACTATGATATATTGGTTCGGTGATGTATCATCACCCTTTCCCCGCTATTCCCACGGAGGATAGTTATCCGCTTCCCTGCATGTCTACCCCTCCTTCGAAAGAGGGGCTTACTGTATATAAGGCCTAGCAGTAAACGGGGTAAAGGGGCCCTCCAGGAAACAGTCTCTGTTACAATCTGACTTAGTGCTTTGCTCTCCTACCTAGTTGACAGGCTTTCTACCCTGCAAGTAGACTATATTCTCACAACTGGTAACGCGCGCTTCGCAAGCTTCGCACGCTGATGCCCTGAAACGAAGTGATGAAGGGAGTGAAACTAACGGTAAAATATGGATAAGACGAGATGGTAAGTAGAGATATAAAAGTCTGTAGAGTCATATTGTGATTGGTCGTAGAAGTGCAGGAAATGCATCCAAGAAAGTTTATATATTTGGCATGTGGTGACGTTCATGACGAGGCTGTATCATCCCAGTCTATGTTAGCATGTGCAGTACAAAAATAGGGAAGCATTCATGTCAGTCGCAGTAAATGAAATCAGAATTCATCGAGAGGGTGCGAGGAGGGATAGCATGGATGAAACGAGGCACATGAGCAAGTAGGTGGATGGAGTTGCAGGTATGAAAATATATATAAATACGATAGAAAGGGACCATAGAAAGTAATGCAGCCATGTAAGCGAACGGCATTAGCACTCATATTGAAGATGAGAGGTATTAGAAGTATATACAAGGATCACAACTGTAGAGACATCGACCATCCAGGATCAACGTAGGAGAGCCGGCCAATGGTGCGGAGGACTAGAAAGCTAAACCAAAACGGGAAGCCATCGAAAGCCAACAATAAGAAGCAAGAGAAAGCCGAAGGTAGGCGGTAGACTTATTGGCCAATTATAATGGATTTTGGGTTATTGCACTCGTGATCCCAAATAACCTCCGTAGCCCTAGCAGATAGAGGTGAAACTGTTCGTTCGTCCTCTGTCCGTGCGCAAAAACCAGATCGCTAGTCTTCAGGGGTCCATAAGACCTTCAATCCTTCTCAACTCCGAACCGTTTTCACTTGGATGACAAAGCACTGAAAATGGCGGAGAGCTCTTTTGACGTGTTGCAGATAGCCAAGCACGTCAGTTGGTCGTCGACTCTTTACGGCTGCTATTTTAAAAAAACTTTTAGAAAGCGACTGAAACATAGAGAAAGGCAATGTTTCTCTGGCCGAGCAAACTGGGGAGGCTCACGGTGTGCTTGAAACTTCTTCGATGACTAGCGACGCTATTACTCAGGAAAAATCAGACCAAACCCATACTACAATCGGGAAGGGCCTGCCGACCACTAGCACAAGTTAGACAAGAAGTTATAATAGGTACAATTTGCCAGCGCACACTCCACATTCTAGAATGCAATACCCGCATTGATCGCAGCAATCCGACACGGATATTCTTTTGCAGTCATGGCGCCCGCTATAGTCAGGACGTGTTGATTAACATAATATCTTTGTTAATGTTGTCGAACATGGATAAGAGACCAATATAGTAGGAGGGTTGGAAATAGTCCCTTCGCATTCACGTAACAGTATAGGAAAACCTAAATAAGGAAAACCTATACCAAGGCAGATAGAAAGGAAAAGCAAACAATTCGAAAGTAGAGCCCACACTATCATAGACCGAATCAGTTATAAGGTTCTTAAAGACATCGGCAGAGTAACTGCTATGACATCCTGTTCGATACCTCATCAGCGAGGTATTTCGACGTGGGTACTCATTGATCATGTCCCCTTCAACCCCTGAAGAGTCCATATCTCAAATGGCATTTTCAAGGAAATCACTAGGCTTCTTTCCAGTCCTATCATACTTCTCCACATACTTCTCCCCAAATTCGCCGACAAAATTATCATATGTCGACTCTGGCTTCTTCCTACACAACTCGCATAGGATCATCTTCACGCCTTCTTTGAAATTCTCCCTCGGAAAGACCTTGACAATCTCATTAAACGCCTCCCATGTCAACGGACCCTTCCCACCAGGAAAGACATTCGGCCCCGCAAAATCTGCCGAGATGCCTATATGCGCAACCATGACCTCAGGCTGCTTATGCATGGCAATGGAAGACGTAGTATGTAGCGCAATCGCGTCCCAGACGAGCTGCACTCGATAATGGGCCCAGCTAGGGTCATTCCCAACCTCGGTGGTTAGGAATTCCCGTGCGGCGTTGGCACTGTCAACCTCAAATCGTTTGTCTGCAGAGCACTTATCGCTGTCCACTGACCAGGCTAGATCGTGAAGGATCGTGCTGATGGCGAGGGCCTCATAGTCAACGGCATAGTCTGGCACCGCGGTTGTGACAACGGAGACAGAGGCGATTGCGAACAGGAAGCTTCTCATAACGTGATTGTATGTGAAGTCGTCGCCATGCTCTCGCGCGTGCGCGATGGCTTTGTTGACTAGCGGGGTATCTGGGATTGTGATTCCGGCTAACTCCCGGGTTGGTAGGGATGAGAGAGCGGGCATGTTTAAAATTGATTGCGAGGTGAAGTTGATATAGATGCGTGGTACTTGTAAGAACAGATATTGAGGGATTATATACGCTGGTTCTCTCATTGGTTTCCGGTGGCGAAGACGGTTGGGAACGGTAACCCGTAATTCCGGTTGATTAGAGATCGAAGTACAGTACTCCGTATTCTTCTTCTGAAACCTTAAATTGCTATGCTTGAAAGTTCGGTAGTGTGGACCTAGCCGGTATTGTTGAACTAAACTATCTCAGGTAATATTCCACTTATGGTTAGGTTCTTATTTCCTAAAATCAGTTATTGTACATTGCGCAGCAAAAAGGCCGACATTTCCGATGAAACCCTTTGCGCTAATGAAATACTATGGCAGTCTGAAATAGTCGGGCTAAACGGGAATACTAGTCCGCTTATATCGGCATCAGCGGTTGAGGAGTCCGCGATGAATTCACATTCATAACTTTTGCTCCATCCCGTACAACTCGTAAATCTATAAGTTTAAACTTTACCGGAATGAAATGGGTTTAAAACGCGTAGGTGGAAAGGAGTCATAAGGTCGACGATATTAGGTTAACAATTCAACGATTACAATAGACCACTAGGTACGAGAGTGTAGGAATCGGAACACGGCAGCCTAAGCAGAGACGCGTTTCGATTATAGGCGGCAAAGAGGCTAATCGACAGGCAGGACACAGCGGTGTTTCGATAGCTAGAGATAGACGAACCTGGCGACCACAGTTATGACAAGATCGAAGAGCTAACATGCTGAAGCCGTAATACACACGGAAAGTTAGATAATCTTGTCTACTAATCTTGTCTACTAATCTTGTCTACTATAAGTGAAGATTATCAAGTGCAGGTAGCAGACCAAGGATCGGTAGTTAATAGACGAAACATTACGTCAGTAGACCATTCTACACAGAAAAAATGTAGTACTAAGCAGAAGGACAAATAGAATCGGGAGTAGCGGGAATACAAGGAGTGGTTGCATAGTCATAGCGTGCGTAAAGTTACGGAAGATAGTAGCCGAAGCCGATTGGATCTATTTGAACCATGAATAGCCCAAACAAACGCATCAAACTATAAAGCTAAGTAATAGAAACCGAACTTCCGACAGCACTCAGTGTGCTCTCACATGTCAGTGAAGCAAGGCGTGGAACAAGTTGGAGTGGGTCATAGTAAGGAGAGAGATATAGAACAGAGGAGAGGCAAGCGTGGAAGGTAAACTTGCGACCAGTGCAGATGAAGCTGTAGAGCCTCGTAGATCCTCGTAGATCCTCGTAGACCAGTGAAGGGCAAGCCAGGGATTCCACAAGTCAGCGAATCAGCGACGCTAAGCGTGGAGTCAATACCAATGCCATAAGAAAACTTAAATCAAGAAGAGAGCTATCTAACAAAGGACCAGCCGTTCATGGAAGGCAGACGTAGAGAGAAGTGTGGAACGAAGCCATAGAACCCTAAGAGCTAGGATGGATAGATAAGTCGACGAGCAATCAGACAACACGGCGACGATCGCCACAATGGCAACGAGCGAACGAGATCATTCCTTGGCGGCCAAAATCGACGAATCAAGCGGCGAGAATGGGCAAGGGTTTTGCAGTACGACCGCAGCAAAACTTTGCGGGCAGCTCGCGCAGGGTAGTAAACCCCTTCACTCGTTCCTCGTTTCAGGGCAATACGCTGATACAAGTCTGAAAGATACAAGAATCTAGAATTAGTGTGCCTCGCCTCGCTAACCCGATTGGGTTGCTTCAATACCAGAGGCATGCTCGAATGAGCACATGGTGAACGAAACTTCACCGCCTTTGGAGATCGTCTGGGGAATCATGTAATCCTTGCCAGGTTAGTTTTCTCCATTCCCTTACAACGTTCTTAACTTCATCATTGATCACTATTGTGCAACGCTATCAACACCTGGAAAGAGTGTTATCGAAATCAATCGACAACCCTTCCTGTCGTCTTATATTAATTTCTTCACCTCACAACTTTCTTCGGGAGAACTGCTCTAGGTCTAGAGTTAGGATACATCTTCTATGATGAATGAGGGGCAAGATGGGCCTACACCGGCATCAAGAGCCGACCGTAGACACCACACTCCCGAAAGCGTGTTGTTTATTAATACGGCCGTTGGATCCGAAGCCTCACAAGCTTCTATCCGAAAGAAGGCTCGTTCGCACATTATGACTCGGTATCATAAAAACGCTCGTGAGATGCGTGTAAGCAAGGCATTCCTATACATTGGTTCTTGACGATCCTAACTAGGTTTAGGGAGTGGAGCGACCTCCTCATGATGATCCAGTTTCTTTTGCCACCAGAGGAAGAATACTAGATAGGGAGCAGTCACAACCTGTGGTTGCTGACTCAGTGCCGATACATAGGATTGGCCCTACAACTGCTGACTTCGATCTACAAATCCGTTCTCATGTCGGAAACCTAGGCCCATTACACGGATTACGTGAATGGGAAGAGAGGCTCAACTCCATTTTAGGGCGGACAATATCTGACCCTTCCCGGTTTGACCTACTTGGTACTGTTTCGTTTCCATTTCAGTTGGACCACCGGGATCAGAATCTTCTATTTCATTGTAAGTTGTCGGCTCTTTCTTTCTTTCGACCATACATGTCTTATCTATAATAGATTGTACGGTCTTTAACTACACGAACATGCCCGTTAATTCCAAGGAAGAATGGATAAAATTTGCTGTGACCGACGCTGCACTTCTTCATACTACATTGGTTATCTCAGCCTTACACGTTGCACTCCTTCGTGGACAAGAATTTAGCGTTGACGCATTTCGACATCAAGGGGCGGCTGTGAAAATCCTTAACGATAGGCTCAACGATCCTATACTCAGCAGCACGGATTCCACTATCCTCTCCATTTCCTGTCTTGCATTAATTGACGTAAGGACGACTCATGGATGTTTAAATCTCCGATTGACAGATGTTAGATTTTGAACGCATCGCCACTTGGAGCAGCCCCTCATATAAAGGCTCTTGAACAGCTTGTTAATCATAGGGGTGGTCTTAACGCCCTAGGATTCAATGGTATTGTGCGAAGAAAGGCCCTTTGGTATGATTTCACATACTAGTCTATGCCGTCTGAGTCTCACACTGTGATGATCTAGGGCGGATCTTAGCAGCGCTATAGCGCAGCGAATCGCACCTCGCTTTCCATTTTCCTCGGAAAAATTGACCATGGAATGTTCATCCGATGATACTCCAATTACAGTCAATACGTCTGCAACAAAAATCTGTACCGAAGTTTCCGATTGGGTAGCAGGCTGTCAGTATCCTTCTGGTATTGAGGCTATCATCGACGACCTTCAACGGCTGTCTCTAGTGCTCAGTTCTGTTAATCGTGCTGATATGGCCGAAGTCGATCAACTAATGCTGAGTAACCACTTCTACAATCTTGAACGGCGTACATACGACCTTCTTCTTCAAGCTGAAACCGGATATTCCTTCACCCAGACTGTACCAAAACACTCGACGAGCATTATTCCCACTGACTCGTTATATATTGCATGCTGTTTGACAGCCATTATATACGTCTCTCTCGCCCTTCGCGAGATCCCACCACGAGCTGGGATATTCAGTCCGCTCTTAGGACGCCTTACGACAATTCTCCGTGATATCGATATTTCCGCAGTCTCTACTACTTATCCCGGAACGTTGTTATGGATCCTAGGCACCGGAGGTGCAGCGGCTCTAGGAAGAGAAGAGAGGAGATTGTACATGAAGTGGCTTGACTATTTCTGTCGTGCACAACACATATATGACTGGGATGTTATGAAAGATGCGTTCAGCAGATCTATCCACACTCCTAGGTATATGATGGAGTTTATGGACGTTTGGAACGATGTTGAAGAGTCCAGAATCTTGAGAGATTTAATTAAGATGTGACTGAAGACCTTTGCAAGGGAATGAAGACATTTTTCGGTATAGTGTTAATATACAACTGTAATCCCTCACTGATAAGATGGCATTGCCATGAGAGCATCAGGCAAAGTCCTCTCTTCTTCGCAATTTGTCGCCCCTTTAATTACCGCCCAAACCTCTGTAACAAGCTGGGCCGTCTTCGGCTGAGTCAGAAGCTCCACGAACGCCTGAAAATCCTTCTCGAATATCTCCAGGGATGATGCGTTAGTAGCATCGTTGACTCTCTTCTTCGTCATAGCCAGTGCCGAGAGTTCAAATTTTCCCACGCGACCAACATAAGCATCCACGAATGCATGCATACTCTCTGACGTCTCAAACGCCCGGTTGATCAGTCCGTACTTCTCCCCTTCTTCTGCCCCAATGTCCCGCCCTGAGTACAGATACTCCAATGCTCGCGGCTTGCCCATCTGTTGAACCAGTCGCATCGCTCCTCCACCTGACGCATACACACCAAGGCAAGCTTCAAGATGGGCTAACCGTGTGCGACCTTTTATTCCGAAGCGCATGTCGAAGGCCATAGTGAAGTCGCAGCCTCCGGCTCGCGCACATCCTTCAACGAGAGCGATTGTCACAATGGGAAGATTGGTCAGTTTATACATGAGACCAAAGAAATATCCCAATGTTGGGTGCTCAGGGTGCATTTCTGGAAGCGTGGACTCTAGCCAAGTTGTTTTGTAAGACTCTAAAAAAGAACAAGATCGGTATCAATCACTAACCAGGATGGGGGAGCAGATCCAGATGAGCAACAAAGAAGTCCGGATTTGCACTTTGAACCACTAGGATCTTAATATCACCGCTTGAGGCAACATCGGTGAGGAGGTCGTTAAGATCAGACATGAACCTCCAGTCGCAAAGGTTGATTGGTGGATTGTTGATAGATGCAGTTAGGACAGTGCCCGTCTTTGACGTATTGATCGTACTGTGACCCATCTTTTGGTCAAAAAAATGCCTTTTGAATAAGTAACAGAGAGACTTTGAACACTGCGGGAAGAAGGTCTTTCGGCGCTTATACGGTGTGATAGAGATGGGGCATCGGTTGGGACGGCGTGGCGGTCACCTCCTATTTATGGATCCCCCACGGTTTCGTCTCCTGGAATAGGAGCATACTTTAACCCAAAGTGGAATATTACTAAAAGCATTCTAGTTGACTTGTATGGCGCTCTACACATACTATCACGATGTCATAGACTTCTCTCAGATGCAAATACTGTACAATGCTTGTCGCAAACTTACGGTTTTCACCCGATCCGTAAAGCCCGATCTAAGCTCACTGCAACTTCCATATAGTTGGGCTATATTGTGTTGCGGTTTGGAAGGCCGTAGTGACATAGGCTTTTTTTTCCTTGACGTTACAGAAAATGATGCAGATTCTACTTTTTCATATATACTTATCTATATGTGTAGGTTATTTAGCCAACAAATAACCAGTACACATTAAAAAAGCTTTCAAATAAAAACCAACCGAAAAGTAGCTATTTTATGGGCATACATATCAACTAACTGTTATTCGAGGGAAATTTTGCGAGAATCTAAAACACTCCCGCGATGCTTACTACTATAACTATGAGTGGAATATTACCCAAAATGGATTTAAAATTAAATCCCGGGAATTAAGGGAATTTCCGGTAATCAAAGCATTTGCGCTGTTAGAGTTGTATCAACGAGTGAGCCTCGACCGCGAAGACAATACTTCCAGGCTGGACATTTCACACAATGACTTCTTGTAGCAGCTTAAATGGGTTTAATTTCACCGTATTCTAGAACTTTAGTTGAAAATGTATTATATCCTTTCGCCGGATCGCCAAATTCGATAGTCGTGGTAAAACTCAGTTGAATTTGAAACCTTGGGTTGTTATTGCGCGGCTCGATCGGCCCAATCATGTTAAATCGGGCTTATGGAGATGAATGCTAACTCAAAGCGGCATATTACCCGATAGGGCCTAGTTCATCGCCACTATCTAATCCCACCCATCACAAATCAATCTCAAGACACATGCCGTGAAGAACAACATTGGCTAAAATAACTGATGTTTGGATGGCCCAAGATAAACCTCCACCGTCCAGGAGAGCTAACCAGAAGCAGTAAATTTCTTGATGTAGAAGTGATAGGCTCCGTTTTAGCATATAATAGTACTCTGGCCTTGGTTGGAACACGGCTCTCTGCAACAGGCACTACGTTTATTCGATTTGGAACGCAAGTCAATCTATAACATGGCTTCCCCACTTAAAGTCGATGTCTACATTGCTCCTGGAATACCTTTTTCTTCTCCTGAGGGTTTACCAAGCTTTGTCGCTCCAGTCTGGTCACCTATGGCCATTACCCTAATATCTGGACACAAAGAAGCCGTACTCATCGATGGACTCCTCACAACTGCTCAAGCGGATGACTTAGCAGATTGGGTGAAGTCTTCCATACCAAACAAGATTTTGACGACAATATATATAACTCACGGTCATGGTGATCATTTCTTCGGCTTGAAACGGCTCCTGGAACGATTTCCGAACGTGAAAGCTGTCACAACTGCGAAAGTTATCGAGCATATGCAGCACGAGCTAGAACCCGATAATTATCAAGCTATATGGGCGAGCAGGTTCGGTAAACAGATCGATATCGACGGTGGTATCCTATCGAGAATCGAGTCATTAGGCGACCACAACAATACTATTCTCCTTGAAGGTCATAGGCTCATTGCCATCGATGCGGGAGAATCAGACACCTGGAATACGACGTACCTACATGTCCCTTCTCTGGGATTGATCATTGCGGGTGATTGTGTGTATAACGATGTGCACCAATTCCTTGGAGAGACGAATACGCAACAGGGTCGGGACTCGTGGATCTCGATCGTTAATTCTATTGCGGACCTCAATCCTCGCACCGTCATTGCGGGGCATAAACGACCCGGTGCGGTGGACGGAGTCAATAATCTTGCAGCAACGATCAAGTATATCGAGGACTTTGGAGACCTAGTCGGCAAAACTGGATCAAAAGTCCAGCTATTCGAGGAAATGATGAAAGCGTACCCGGACCGGGTGAATCCGTATGCTCTGTGGTTATCTTGCCAGGGAGCATTCAAAAGTTGAGGTAACCTGGCTGTACCATTTACCTTATGCATTATTTCAAAAGCCTAAGATATGCCGGCGATATCCTTTTTCTTGCTGCTTCATTGTTCAAGACACTGCGTAAGGTGGCAAGTAGAGCGATTTTACCCCCATGTCAGAACGCAACCGCTTAACACTTACTATTAGTAGAATATTTAAAAATACGAGACGATATGATACTATCTTGAGTACAGGCTAGCAGTATCTAGTCACGTAGGCCCGGATGAAATTTAGACGGTTACGATGCCGGGGACCGAGGTTTCGTGTCATCTTATGTGGCCCTTACGTTGGAACGCTGGCGTTGGGATGACATCATGATCTATTTGTGGGTCCGTAAAATACATGAACGTAACAGCTTACTCAGGGCATTTTACGGGTTCCAGCTCAGCGGGACCCAAAAAAAGTTCAACGGGACCCAAGAGATTTCTGACTAATTTTGGGTCCCGCTGAGGTGTTGGATCTCATCGGGACCCAGAATATTTTGGGTCCTAATGAGCTATTATGCTCACTTTTATGTATTTTATACAGGGTTCAACTTTAGTTGAACCCCTACCTTACTAAACTGCACTATAACTCTATACAGCTCTATATAGTATATGTTACTAAATTCTTGATGACTCCTTATATTATTTATTAAGAGTAATATGAAAGAAATAGCCTTGATCTTAATAAATTACAGGTTTTGAAAGAAAAATATCTATTTTGTGGAGTTACAATACAAAAGTGTCAACAAAGAAATGAGAGATATATCTTTAACAACACAACACCACCACTCTTTTTTTTCCTTCCCTCTCCACGAACTTTGTTTACACAAGGTGAGAACATCTGTTTACTCTACTCTCTAACGCGTTTCTCTATATGTTTTGCATATACTGAATACTTCTAGCTTATCAATATGTCGAATCTTGGACTCTTCCCTGGCCTGGGTCTAACCCGGGCCGAATTTGACAATACTACCGTCTTGAACGCTACTAACCCTAACCCTCTCCTGGGATATACGTATAGTATATCGCCTAGAGGCATATACTATTGATATACTAACTATATATAGGGCCTATTCCTGACAACAATCCTGGCTGGAAGCTAGCTATATATACGGCAGCTCTGGCTACAGGCGCTCGCTATTATAATATTAAAGCAGTAGATATCGCGGTAACCCCCCCCTAAACCCGGCCGTGGTTCTCAACAAAGAGAACACGGGAGTATACGTAGCGTCTTAATATACTAAGGATATAGTTACTATATGCTAACACTACGAGGAATAGCTGTGATATCGTCGTGAACCCTCCGTCCTAGATATGCGGTCTAGTCTTTTCGGAGGTACCTACTCTACGTCGTTATATCCGCAATAAGCATTCCGGAGCTAGTTAGTGTCTATAGATTGGATATATTAAACATATACTAACAACGTGACTACGATATAGTCGTTAACCCTAATCGCCGAGCTAAGACCTAGTACGAGATTATTACGGGCCAGAACGCTATTAGACGTTAGGTCCTGTAGGGTGGCTAGCGGGATACTAGCTACCTATATAAGCCTAGACGCGGCCCTAAGAATAGGTAGATTGGATACTAGGCCTCCGCCCTAGAGCGTATTGCGTAAGTACCAAGGGTACTCTATGTTCTGCACAAGTCAATATACTTCTAAGTATATAGGTTTTATATATTGAAGATATACTAACAATCTGTATAGAGCTACCGATATATAGTTTGCCGCACAATACGGTACACGTTTCTACCGCTGGCAGGCCCCGGCAACCCCGCTCTCTGCTCAACGTAGCCGCCGGGTAAGTCTATATTATATATATGCAAATGATATATTGAGTATATGCTAACGATATATAGCGTGGCCCTGGAGTCCCTAGGAACCCGATTCCTTTCGCAGGTTTTAGCCCTGCTACTGGTACTAGAGGTGGCGGTAATAGAGGTAGTGGCAATAGAGGTGATGGTAATAGAGGTGATGGTAATGGAGGTAGCGGTAATAGAGGTAGTGGTGACGATGGAGACGAAAACGACGGGGAGGAAGAGGAGGAGAGCAGGGAGGAAGAGGGCTTATCCTCCTCTGCTTCTAAGTCTCTCTAGTAGCTAGGCGTAGTTGAATCTGTATGAATCGTTTGTTATCTTACTATATAGAATATATGTAAACCAGACACTAAAAGTAGATTGAAGATATACTAAACTTATGCTAAGGTTTACCTGCCTCTATACTCCGTAGTAACTCTTGCTTTTCCCTTCGAAGGGCCAAAATCCTTTGCTTTCTCCTAAGTTCAGCAACTTCTTTCTATAACCGTGCCTCTTTATCATCAAATTCCTAAGTATAGCCTAACTACTAAGATATACTATCCTAAGGTACTAATCTAGATGATTCAGTATAAACTAAACTACCCCGAGGAACTAAACTACCCGGAAGTATACTAGATAGCAGTACAGATATAGTTTGACTATATACTAAGCTTACGTTAGTTACCTCTAAAGCAGTTATGGAAACTGAATCTGAGATATTCGGAAGCTTAGGTAGTTATATTATAGGGTTAAGAATATTATAGGGATTGGTTAGGTTCCAAGGTTGGTATAGTTTATCGATACGACGATTAGCAGATTTTCTGAGACGTTTGTCTAGTATAAGGTTAGTATATATGTAATATATGTTACTTATATAGACAAACCCTTTTTGCGAACTTGTTTAGTAATACGATGCACAGGGTTATAAGATCGCTAAGTTAGGAAGATACCTTGCTCTTCTGCAAGTTTATTCTTTTGAATCATCTCTTGTATATGTCTTTTGTATCTATAGATAATATATTAGTGATATACTCTATACAAAAGAGATATAATTAAATACCGTAGAATTGCTATTAATAAAGCTTGCTTTCGGCCTACTACCTCGTTATCGTGGAAATAACTGCTTTCGCTTATTCTAGTGTGGTGTGGTGCGTTTATCCACTATTTAATAGGAATCTTAGATGCCTCTAGGGTTATTCTAGCAAGAATCTAATCAACCTTCTTATTCTGAAACTATCTTAGTGTCTCTAGCTATTTTTCTATAACTTTATCTATAATTCGAATAACTTCTGCTTTTGAATTTGTATTCTAGATCTGTGAGATATTTGGTGTGAGATATAGGGCAAGATGCCTAAACCGTCATACAGCATATCAAGCCAGATTCATAAGGCCTATACAAGATGGCTAAATCTCTATAAGCTTTATGCTATACCATCATCACTGCGGTCAATGACATCAAGTAAGACGTATACAACAGTATACGATCTACATCATCACTACGGTCAATAACACGATCTACATCATCACTACAGTCAATGACATCGTACAATCAAGCAACCACCGATCAAACAGCTACTACATGATATCACTATGCATCTAGATCTGTCTGCATGAGATCATCATGCATCATCTAGAACGATCACATACAAGAGACAAGTTGATTATAAATATGCCCTGCTTTCTCTACCAAGATAACAATATTTAAGACACATAAGCAAGATTCAATACAATCAACCAAGCTTCAGTCCTACCTTACTCTTCTCTCATCTTATCTTTATGATTCTAAGCCGAATTGAACTTATCCTTCCTATTCAATCAAGAGGAAGAAAGATCAATCGATCTTATTCAATTATCTTTAATTTATCTTCCTCTTTACCTAACCTGCGTAGCATCGCTTGCTCACAGGTTATGAGCCCGAATTGATCCTACTTCAATTCGGCTTATACCACTTCTTCAATCTTCTATCTTCAACGAAGAATCCCTTACTTTTAAGAGAAACTTCTCTCTCTTAAAAAGAAACAAAAAGCTCCTCCGACTTCTTATTTTCAAAAATTTATACTCGATTTTTACCGGTCGCGTCTACTTCTCTATACGAAACACTAAGAAATCTCGACTTTCTTAACAAAAACAATCATTTTTCAAATATTCAATCAAGTTTTTAAAACTCAAGATGATCAACAAACATAATATCGATCCTCTCAAAGGAGAAGGAAATTATGTTGCCTGGTCTATCCGAATCAAGGCGATTCTTGATCAAGAGAGACTGATTGATACAATCCAACATGATTACACAAAGCTTCCTGCTATTCAGCAAGGCCAGATTCCTAATCAACACTGGTCTTATGAAAAAGCAATTGCTTTATTACCTAATTAACGATTACCCGATTGCAGAAACACTACGATTTGGTTAGGAAGAAGATCTGGTAGACCTATAAGATCTACTAGCCCTGCTAAGATAGGCTAGAATAAGCTAGTTATTCTATCTGATAAATTCAAAACTATTGATCAGATAAATCGAGACGCTCTATCATCAATCAAGCTATCATGCAAAGATAGCCCACTCTTTTAGCTAGGAGATACCACATCGGCCTACTAAGTATAGGTTACTTTAGCTACCTAATATCGGCCGAAAGGATTTACTACCGAATTCCTTGTGTTAAAGAGCCTATTCAACAGCCAATTAGGCGATTTCGATAGTATGTATAACTATCTCACTAAGATAAGGCGCCTGCTAATCGAATTAGCAAGCCTAGGGATTAATTTCCCTAAGCAAATCGTATTCGTATAGGTTCTCAACAATCTTGACTAATTATACGCACCGATTGTTCAAAATATTATTTAATCTCTTCGCAGAGATTCTAATTCCTATACGATTAAATCGTTATTCGCCAATCTTATTAACGAATCGCGCAGTTATATTTAATCGAGCAAGCAAATCTTTATAGCTACTAGCCAAAGCAATCGTCAAAGCAATCGTTAAAGCAATCGTCAAAACAATCGTCAAAGTAATTACCAGGCTAATCATAAGCCTAACTATCAGGTAAATCACCAATCAAATCGTCAGGCTAATCAAAATCGTCGAATTAGCAAAAAACCGTGGAAAAAACTGTCAAATTCTGGCAAATACTATACGCATTATAATATACGAAGCCATACAGTAGCAGATTGCTAGTATCTACATCCTTCTGGCAGACTAGCTA